ATGTGTGAAAATGAACTCTTGCTTTAGAAAATAGTAAAAATAAAAGTGCAATGTTACTCTTCGTTGTTCAACACTTTAGAGCGATAACTTTATTGTTTTGACCAAACTGACATTTCCTTTGTCACAAAAGCACAATGCACTCTGTCACATTGAAAAACCATCAATATAACAGGCAAAACAAACAAGAAATTAGCTTGGCAATTTTTCCCCCCAAAGCATTTACACAAGCACATTAATTAAAACATTTCTACAGGATATTAAGAACAAAAGAGTCCATTAAAGGACTTCGTGTACAGAGTGACCAGAAAAATTTCCCCTTTGCCCCTCAAAGTGACAGAGCGGAAGAAATCCTCTCTGGTGGGAGACTTTGTGTTCTCACGTTGTCTTTGAGTGGTATGTTCTATGTAACGGTCCAAATGAATTATGCTTCTTCAAAGAACGGACCCAAGGCATGACTGAAAAATGCTCTGCCTCAGGGAGAATTTAACTGTAGGGACATTTTAAACATAAGCCTTGACTAATTAAAAAACCAAGAATGTGACTGACTACAAATATACTTATTATAGATGTAAATAGATATGTTTAAATTTAGCTAAGATGTTGAGCTTGTTCTGAAATAATGTGCTCATGTCACAGAGAGACACTTAAGACAAGAAACAACAAGAAACCATCTGCCTCCGACGTGCTTGTTCCCTCTTACATTTTTAACACTTGAATGCCACTCAGAACTTGTTTACTGTAACACATGATTTCAGAGGTCTCTTAGGATATGACGGTTGTACAGCATGGCACTGAACAATAAAATGTGTTTATTTTTCTGGTCACTGGATGTACACTATAAATAACCAGACAGAAGGCAAACATCAAAGTACAGAGTAAAAAACAGAGAAGAAACACTATTTTAGAAATTGCACATGGCAATGTCTGCAGTACACAAGGATGAATAGGTAGCAAATCAATTATTTTAAAGTTTTTTTCTTCTTTTTTTTCTGGTCCTTGCAGCTCTCAGTTTTGATGACTGCTGCTTTTATTGACATTTTACAAAGCACTATTTGACCATTTTTTACTACACGTTCTGCAATAACCAGCAACACCAAATGTTTGCAGTCAGTTAGATGACCAGGTACTCAAGAACAACAAAGTACATAAAACGGTTTTCAAATTTTGACAGACTTAACTGTGAGTGAGGTGTCCACTACGCTCCACGGGTCGTCCAACCGTTCTGTCAGTGTTCTCAAAAAGTCATACGAGTGGACGTCATAATGAGCTGCGATGCTAAATGGAACAACCCTCAAATACGTGGTTTATGTTCTGAAAGATGCTTGTATGAAATGAATAATGTGCTGTATGGGAATGGTTCTATACTTGTCAGATGTATGAGTGAATGTGTGTGTTTTACCTTTTGTTGTTATATTGTGTTCTACCTCTGATATATGCTGATCACTCACTGTGTGACATTTACATAAACAATGTTTAGCAGCAAACTCTTTTCTACTCTAATCCCTGATAAAACTGATTATCCAGTCTTCAAATGAATCCTTTCGTTTCTCTTGCTGTTGAAGGTATTACCTAAAAAGGCATCCATAGCAGATGACGACAGGTGACCATGGAATTACAGTTTGAGTAAATGTGGTAATTTTAGTTGTGTGACTGTTGCTTCGAGACCAATACTGTTACGTACGAGTAAAAATGAAGTAAACCTAAAAATTGCCTTTTCAATTTTCTCTCTTTATAACGTCACACTTTCTTCTTCATAGTCAGTGTACTTTCAGTTTTCTTTTCATTTTATTGTGCTCTCTGTAAACTCTGTGAGCAAGACCACAAAGAGACTGATATAGTGTAACAAAAAAACATGGCCGCCTAATTTACTTGGAGGCACTAGTTTGCTTTCTTATTAATTTCTCTTGGCGATGATTGGTGTGGTTTTGCTTGGTGTTGCAGTCAGAGCTATATTTCAACATTCATCCCTGCTTCACTGTGATGCTGTGCTAATTCCTACTGTTTTTCACAACAGCCAAGGTAGTTACCAATTTGTACATTCTCATAAACAGTGTTTATGAGAATAAACAGTGTTTATGAGAATATGCAAAGCAGTACACGGAAAGTCTAACAGCAAATTTGTATCTAAGTAAAACAGACGTCCAAAAAGCTTTTGTTGCCTTTCCTGGGGCAAAACAATTTGTCATTAGTAATTTAGATCATTATTTCACCTGCATATCAAAGATATACAAGTGAAATATATAAATCTTTTATATAATAAATCTTTAATAAAATCATTATATTACTTTTTCTTTTTTTAAAAAAAAGGCACAGTATATTTACTCATTTTAAAAATCTACATTTCTTAATAAATCTTTATACGTAGACCTAATAGTAACTTCACCAAAACAACAATACTAACATACCTTGTAGATATTTTGCAGACAATCACAGAGGTAATAAATGTAATATAATTGTTTAGCCCTTCTCAATTTAGTAGGACACTGGTACTTTATAACCTCCATCCATTCATCCATCCATTTTCATCCGGTTATCCGTTACCTGGTCGCGGGGGCAGCAGTGGCCACCCAAATCACACTGCACTGTACCAACCCAACCTAAACCTTCCTGCGGGTGGTGAGTCCACTGGAAGGTACCAACCGCCATAACCGGATTCGAACTTGCCCAGGAGGTGAACCCTGAGGTTCCACACCAATGACAGAGACATTGCCTCTGGGCCAAAGCGCCACACTTTATAACCTTCTATAGGAAATTGTGTCCTAAAAAAAAAAAAATTTGGACGATAAATTTGCACAAGAAGGTCATCATCTGGCATTCCCACTTTCACAATAGAACCAATTTAGCCAGAGGAGACAGAAATAAAAGAACCTACACATTCGTTACAGTCAGTATTATCTGTTGTCTTTGTCTTTGGCACTGAAAAGTTCTCAAACCTAGTTCATAAATAGGTGACATGATTGAAAATGCTACAAAAATGTGATGTGGGGTTTTTCACAACAGGCATTGTTTTCAGATTGTCTCAGACTGAAGTAGAATACAGGGGAGGCCCAAAAGAGTCTGGTGTGTTTCAAAAATATTATTGTGGTTCATTTATAAGACCCAGCTGTGGGACACCTATGCCTTGTCACAAACAAAAGAGTACTTGCAACGGTATACAATGGTATACTACGGTATACGCAGTCTAGCCCCAGGAATTACAACCAGTTATTCATGGATTTGTAAACAAGCCGCCAGCTGGGCAGTCAGCCGTGAGCTCGCAAAATGATAAATTCTATCGGCTTAATGAGCAGTGACAGTCCATTCTCTATGGACATGTTATCTGCTGCTTATATCACACAAGGAATAACAGGATTAAAAGGGGATCTTTACACTATAAAGGTCTGGTATAGGAACACACAGGGACAGGTTCCTGGTGTGGTTGAATGACACAAGCACAATCATCGTGGAAGTAATCGGGAGGCGTTAGAAAACTCCTATCAACCACTTTATCTTGGAGGACTCTTAGAGATGGACACTTTGTTGTTCATGTCCCCTGCATCAGAAACGAAAGCCTAGAAAATACTGAAGCTTGGGTGTCTGACTCTGCCTTTTCTGAATGGTAATCACATTGTCAAGAGACTCCTAACATTGCAATGAAAAGTTGACAGCATGGAACCTTTTGGGACACATTTTAAAAACATTTGACAGGATGGCCCACGGGCATGGGGATGTCTTTGCTGGGAAAGCATTACCAGTTATGCTGTATGGCCATGTCAAACTGGCTCAGAGCTAGTGAGTGCCCTGTTTATCTTTCTTTCCCCTGTTTGGACCTCTTAATTAACAATGAGCAGGAATTGAGGTTACGTTAAATCCATACAGGCTGGTCTGACCACGGGGGGAATCAAGAAAGGAAGCCTGGTATTAAAATCTACGTTGCATTGTTAATGACTGTTTGTCCAACAACATGTTTGTGCAATTATTCATAGAGTGAACATCTCCCTTGTATAACCAAAATGTACACCATCAAAAAATCCAACTTTGACTAAAAAACACATTCTGGTAAAATATCTAGTTTTACGCCACTGCTGTTTTCAAGGGCAATATTGAACATCCTGTTGCTGCTTGATTTTATCACCTATTCTTGAATGAGGTTCTCGTTAAGTGCAATAACACTTTTAGCTTCCTGTTCCTTTGTAGTGGTTTGTCTTAACGTGAGCTGTAGTGACACACATGCTGCTTTATTTCTGCGGATTAACGGTTGGTATAAAAATAACAGCAAAAAAATAAGATTTTTTATGTATTTGAGTTTGTTTTTGTTTGTTTTTTTAATGGCAAGATTGATGTCTGAGCTCAGTTGTTGACATTCTGGATATGAAGAGAAGAGCATCAATAATGCACTGCCCTTTGACAGCCATGATAAGAATCTCAGTCTCACTGCCAACGTTGCCATACTGCATGTCAATTAGCTGTAGTTTTATGAATGTTTTTTTTTTCCAAACGGTTGCTTGTAAAACATTACAGACAGCAAAATAAAACAAGATTTTAACCTAACTTTAAACCAAAGTTCACTTAAGTAGCTGGCACAAACAATCAAGTTTACGTTTTACCTGCATGTACACTCTTCAACACAAATATATATACAGCAGACCGAACATGTTTACAGCCAACTCGGGCTCTGTTTCTTCCCAGTTAGCGGTTGAGGCTAAATGCACAAGATGTGTACGTCAGAAATACCCCCCTTGACCCCCCCACCCTCCCCCCAAAAAACATTGCAAGATTCACGTGGCACATTCAGTAGGTTAAAGAAATATTCATAAGTAAATTATGTTCAGTCTGGTTCTACCTTGCATACAGTGAAGGGTTCAGAATAACAGTATAAAAACCATAAACAAAGTCAGAGGAGAATAACACATTCAGTTAGCAATAAGCATATCTCTGACAAATATGCCATTTAAAATGAATTAAGTTTGGCCATTTTCTTCTTTTGGAAAACAATGTTCATTATTCTAATAATTGTTGGAGTGATGACATCAGTCATTGTATTTGTTCATTTTGACACTGTGTGCCACTGGCTTCTAATCTCATGTGCCGTAGTGTATTTTGTACATTTTGTTTTCTTTAACAGTTAAATATAAAAACGATCAAACTTACCCACTGTGGTTTTATCTCCTTTGAAACAGAATTGACTCACACATTGTTGAGAGTTGTTTGATTTAGTACAATGATTTCTCTGTTATTTGATTTTGATTTGTTCTGCAGAACAAACAGAAGCAGGATGAGAATGTCAATCACTTAAACTCGTATGAGTTTTTCCCAACTACAACAAGGCAGAACAAACCGAAATGCAAATCAGTTGTCACTCCCACGCTGTTGCTTTAATAGAACTCCATGTCATACAATCTACATACATGTCATACTTGATCAAAATCTAATATTCAGGCTCTGACAAGGATGCTTTAAAATTGCTTCAAAATACCCAAAGACTTTTTGTGCTTTGGTCGTTTTATCTGACCTTGATAAAATTGTTTTGAATGTATTCATTAGAGATAGACCTGTGTTTACCACTAAGTCATAGTTTTAGGTTTAAAAGATGAGGGCAATTTTATCCGTGTGTTAAAACCTCTTCATGTTACCTTGGATGTCTGTGTCTGTGTCTTTAGATTGAAACAGCTGTTATACCCCCACTACTGCCTGAAGCTTTATCAAGGTCCTCCATGACTAGGTCTTGTTCATTGACATGGTTGTTTCTCCTGGAGCTGGATTTGTCCATGCTGTTGAGAGAAATAGGTTCCAGAGAGGATGGCACATTGTTTGCAGGCAACACAGTGTTCCCCTGCTGTCTTTGCGAGTAGGTCTTCTGCTGCTGTCCATCGACTGCACACTGCCTAAATTTAAACACAGCTTGAAATCCACTACGGAAATTCTCGTTGAAGAAACCATATATAATAGGGTTGACACTGCTGTTGAAAAAGGCAAGCCAGTGGGCAAATGGGTAAATGTAGATGTTGATAATTTTGTATTGTTGCTCAGTCAGGCTGGCATAGTCACTCAGCATCATGAGTGTCCACAGCGGCAACCAGGAGAGAATAAATAGCAGTGCAACTATTAAAAGCATTTTAATCACCCTTTGCTTTTTCTTGGAGATTGTGTAACGGTTGTTCTGGCCTGGCTTCCCTGCTGACGGAACTGTTGTTTTGAAAAGTGTGATGCCAATCCGGGCATACATAATCACAATTAGAGAAAGAGGTGCAAGGTAGATGTTGGCAAACAACACGGTGGTGTAAATTCTTCTCATTTCCTGGTTCGGCCAGTTCTCCCTGCACCAGTAAAAGGGAGTAGTTTTGTTGTCATATCCCAGTAACACTTGAATGGTTTGCTCCTTAGTCACTTGTAGCATCACCCCAGAAGGACACATAATGGATATGGCCAGGGCCCAGATAACGACTATTATCAAGGTGGCTGTGGATATGGTGAGCTTTTGTTTGAATGGATAGACGATGCATCTGAACCTGGAGAAGTGAGGACAAAAACAGGGCCAATAAACAAAGTGATTACACCTACTAAACAGTTTTACACTCGAAAACACACTTTACAAACATGAAAACAATATAAATATTTACTCAAATTAATTCTAATTAATTCTAAGTTTTTCTTGGTAAGTCATGTGAAGGTAACTTTTTAGCTTAGTTTCTAAAAACTGCTTAAGACTGTGTCAAATCGTACTGAAAAGTTGTACTCCGTACTTGTTTGTACTTGTAACTAGACTAGAGGAACATTACTGTCTAGGTGGCTAGTTCTTGAGTTTTTGTTTTATTTTATTTATTTATTTTCTTCATAATCAAGATTTGCTTTCATAAAATACTAATAGTCTCAACTTTATGTAATGAATAGTATGGGTTTAAAAAAAATCCTAAAATTAATAGAGATTAATGACTAATCTAGACACTGATGTTATAACCAATCATCAAATATCTACTACCTATAATATTGAAGTTATAAAATTAAGTCTTCATAGAGAATGTTGTGTAACCACAGCTGCCAAACACAGGACAGCCTTTTATCCCCCAGATATTTCAGGTTTATTCTGATCAGGTGCCTCAGTGATATGGGAATTTTTCTTCTGGAATACCAAATTGTTTTGCATGTCCTTTCAACAGGCACAGACATCCCCTGTGATTTTCAAATGGTTACAACGCAACACTGTCACATCCGATGTCGGAGGTCATCACATTGTTAAAATGTCACCCCCATCACTTTTATAGCTCGAGGAACTGTTTGTCTTCTCCTTGGTAAAATGACAATACAGTCTGATTTGCTTATAAATACTCTGACTTTTATATGTACCTGTTCAATACAGTTGATACATGTTTGGTAACGGTGACTATATGAATATATATTTTGCAATAATATAAAAGTACAGCCATCATACCTGTCAACTGCAATGGCTACCAGGGTGAAAACAGATGCTGACACCGAGATGCCTTGGACCATGCCACTCATTTTGCAGACCAAGCTTCCAAATGGCCATCCTGTTTGACAGGGACGATACAGTATATTCAGCTTAGTTAAAATTGTAAAAGACAGGCAGCATGGGAGCAACTGAAGTGTAGGTGTACTGTATTGGAGAAATTGGAGTAATCAACAGTAACCTGCAGTATGCAAGCTTATTGTGAGAGGAAATCACAGCTTCTTCTTTGGTGTTCTTTCACTTGTTACTAAAATAGGTTCTGAAACTGAACTGATAATAGAAGCTGCCCAATGGTCAAATTACTGACCCGGATTACTTACACCCTTAATGCACTTTGTGTTCTCTAACTTTGGTCACCAATTCTAATAAAACTGAAAAGCTTCAGCGAGACCACTTCAGAAGCTCACAACACATCTGTCCATGACAGTCAGCTGCACTGCAGCTCTGCTCCTGAATAATATCACAGTAAATCACTCAACATTAGCAAAGCTAAAGGAAGCATGTCCAGCTTCAACAATAGCTTGGTTCCTGCTGTACTGCTGATAGAGCTCTGAAGAAAAAACAAACAAAAACCTAATAAGCAGACACTCTCTACTTGTGAATCTCCAAAAGCATTGGTCGTTTATTAGTAACACTGCTGTTGAAGGTGGGAATTTTTATCTTTATGCTAATGTCTTGACACCCTAATATGTAGCTTTGTGTGTTGTTGAGTTTCTCGAGGTGGGCCCAGTATGCCTCCTGCCACTAGAAAAAAATGTCTTCAGCAAGGGCCAAAGAAATGTTTTCTTCCTACCTCCCGGCAGTGCTCTCTACTCCAAATGTTTTGGTGTAAATCTATACTCTCGAAGACTGCTGATATTTCTAGTTGTTGTCTAATGAAATAGAAGTCTAGCTTCAGTCATTTGGATATAGAGTTTGGATCATGATTCTTAGTGACATTTCTTCAGGATCAGTGCCTGGTGTCTTGTGGCCTATTTTGCAAACAGCTCCTCATTCATTATTTTTAATTTAATCCCCTTCTTGTTTACAACCTTCACACATTTGACAAGATTAACTTTGATGTACCTGTGTCTGTTTGCTAAAGGTTCCAGCTCAGTAAGATGTTGTGATCCATGAATTTGTTAGAAACATTTCTCTGGTTTTTCTGGTAACACACACCTGTGCTGTAATCTTCAAAGCTGTGTGCTACTCCATTATGAGGCTTTGTGTCAGCATTATGTATTTTTGTTAAGCTCCTCTTGTTCTCTCTTCTTGATGTTTCTGTCAAGACCCAAGTAATGCCTTCTGTTGTTGATTGTCAGCTGGTCTCGTAGAAAAGACTTTGGCAGGATGCAGGTGTTTCAAGTGTTCTTTTGCATCAATGGTGATTTGAGTGCAGCATAAAGATGCTAAATTTGGGATTCCATTGTGGAATATTTTCTATATGTGCATTTATTTACTTCTTTATTCCAGAGATGTATCTAAAGACTGGTATTTACCCTATGTTGATGACTCAAAACATTTCTTTAGTTTTGTATTTTCAGCAGAATGAGGCCTTTGATTAGCTGGGCTGAAGTCCAGACCTGTTACTAGTACTAAGTACTATCTCGCAATTTCCCTTCTAAGATCTTTTCTCTGTAACCATCAAATCTACATTTTTTATAGAAAATAAACAAACCTGAACTAATTGTATAACATAACAGGTAAATAGGGGCAAATGTTTTCACTGGTCACCAAAAACCAAAACCTCTTCATATATGTTCAAACTATTTACCTCAATCATGCATTTATTTTAAATGACAGCTTTTGTCAATTAAAAATGTTGTTTAGATTATTCCCATTCAAATATTAGCATTTCCTCCCTGAAAGAGCATGGATTAGCACAACCCCACACTCTATTTTAATTACTCACCAAATTGCTAACAAGACAACTTCCCTGCTGACAAGCTGTAAATTTTGTTGATTTTTTAATAAATGCCTGCTGCGTTTTGAGTGACAACCTTAAACTGAACAGATCACAGTTCAAAAACGTCAACAGTAATGTGAAAAAACATTTGATGAACAGGTTAGTCTACGATCAATTCCTGGGTGGAATAATGTTTTGATTAAATGATTGTTATTAAATTACTTTTTTGTCAAAGACATACATTTAACGTGTTGTCATAAAGCAATGAATTCATAATGACTCCATTCACATTCAAAACACCAAAAGCCTTTAGAAATGTCTCAAACATTTCCAAATAAAGCAGGTAAGATTTAGATACACTAAATAAAAAACTGAAAATAGAAATGTATCGTTTATCATTTGTATTTTAACAAGCAGAATGACGAAAAGAACATTTTATGACTTTTTTTTTTAAATCACCAATCTATTTCTTCTTAGTGGAATATAAACATATTTGGTTGCTTGTTTATTTAAACACATTGTTTTGTGTAGAAAGCTTTGATAGAAGGGAAAAATTCAAGTCCTAGAGCAATGTTTCCCAACCAATCCACACAGCACCAAACAAAAACTCAAAAAAGGATATGCAATTAAAATATAATAACCTGGATTAATTTACTCACAATTTACTAAAACCTTGGTCTGTTTAGCCGAAGGCATTGTTGATATACCTGCAGGAATTGAAGAAACACACAAAGATCTTCTTTAACAGTTGTTTCAGTTTTCTTTTAGTTTTTCCTAACCATTTGCTGCCAACTAATGGAAGATTGTTTATTTTTTCTGCCTGTCATGCATTGACAAACAAAGAAAAAATATTTTCAATAAATAATAATAGTTTCAGGCCAATTAAGTGAAATTGGATATTTTTCTGTGGTACACCTAATGATCTCTTAGAGCAGAGTGTGCCACGACACAGTGGTTGGGAATCAATGTCCCAGAGGACTTCCTTATCAGTATAAAAGAAATTTCAAACTGGGACAAAAAGTGAAAGGGTTCAGGCAAGCAAAAAAAAAAATTAGAAAAAGAGACTTGGTGAAGAAACTGCATGACTTTTAAGCCTATTGGTGAAATGAGATTAGAAACATTTATTACCTTGGTCAACATACTCATAAGAGTTTAAGACTCTTATATAATAATCAGCAGTACAAAACAGTTATGTGTGTTATTGCACATCCTAAATGTGGCAGAAAAGTTATACGGAAGCTTAAAATCAAGCTCTTCAAGGTTTTAACGAGACTGATCAATTGTGGTTGTTGAATTAAAAAAAAAATCTCATTATTTTTCCAAACTGTTTATTCATTTGTCTTTAATTGTGAGTAATGGTATTACTCTTGGGATATATTATTACATATTCAGCTCTCTGTAAATTGCAAATGCTGGATTTAGACAATAATGACTCATTACATTATTTATGGCTGAAATGAGCTCTTGTCAAAAGGCAATAGGGAAAATAATTGGTGTGTAATTATCTGCAGAATCTGAAAAACACCACACAATCTGACAATTTCTAAAGTGAGTGAACAAAGGTGATGCTGCAGTGGCTGCAAGCATGGCGATTTTATTTTACTTATTTATTGATTCAATTCTTGTTGTGTCGTTGGCCCATCCATCTTTTCTGCACCTGTTCCTTATCAGAGCCTAAGGAAGCTGGCAAAAAGCAAAGTGCTTATCCAATGGAGGGCAATATAATGTATATAAACTGCACCCGTTCACAATGACAGTGTCATACTAATGAAACATTTAAACTATGTATATGTACAATAACAGGATCAGTATCGACAACAATACTATAATTCTAACTCATACTCTAATGCAGATTTTCCCAAACTTTTTTTCTGGGGACCCATATTTTAAAAGTCAGACAAACCTTCACGATCCAAGTCAATAGACATTATTGGTAAACTCCTGGGAAACATGATGTGAGACGACCCAAAATAACTCTCTTGCGACCCACCTAAGAGTCACGACCCAGTCTTTGGGAAACAATGCTCTAATGTGACGATCCAGTGGGCAGTGGTGGCCTAGTGGTGAAGGAGGCGGACTTCGGTCCGGAAGGCCCCAGGTTCGAATCCACCAACTGCCAGGTTGCCACTGAGATGTACTGAGCATGGCATTGTCCTCAAGCACTGCTCCACTGTTCACTTTGGTGATGGGTTAAATGCAGAGGGTAAATTTCGTTGTGCATGGTGTGCTGTGCTGTGCTGTGTCACAATGACTAATAAAGATAAGTTTAAGTTTTAAGTTTAAGTTTAAATCCCTTTAAGTTTAAGTTTAAATCCCTCATAACTTTTTCACCCTAAACCAGAAGCCCTCTGGGCCAGTCAATATACTTGTAAAAACTCACTAGAGATGTTTTTCTCAATGGTCTTTGCAGATTTAAAATTTGGCTTAAATTATCCTCTTTAAATGTAGATGATAATTTATAACAATATGATTAAAAAAAATTGTATTGAATTTAAAAATCACCATGGCCTTTACTTTGCTTGTGTCAACACAACACTTGCAGAATTCGAGGAGTCAAATCTACTTAATAATTAAAATGCTTTAATCTTATGTGTACATTGATAGCAGACCACTGCATTCCTGAACCTTCAGCCTGGCTGTGATATTTGTTTTTCTAACTTCAAAGGGTGGTATCATGTGATCAACCTCAAACGTATATTTATGTAAATAAATAAATCATTTCATCCTTTTATTTCAAAACATGTTTAACGCACTTTTGTTTGATCTTTTAATTTACTGCATGGGAGGAGAGATCACAAGTAGACCAACAGCTCCCAGAATGTTCTGCTCACTCTATACCAGTTAGTTCACATTTTAAAGGGGCTATTGAGTGCACATTACTTGGAAATGTGAACACACACGGAGTGAAACTAATTTCTTCGCACAGCTGCACAAAGCTTTTTGCATAAACATTTAGTGTATTTCACCTCATTGGACTGTTCATATCACACACAGCACCTACACTGGTAACTGCAGATCATTTCTTGTTGAAGACACTGGTGAACGGTTTTATTTGGGAGCCAGCCAGCTCCCTTTGATTCCTTAGCCTCTGCTGGGACATTTTGGGTCAAGAGGTTTGTAACACTGACCGAAAACATCAACGTCATCATTTCTATCTTAAAAATTAGGACTTGAGTGAACTGGTTCATTTTCTAACATGTGCAACAAGGCACGAGTAACTACCAGGAATAGTGTCAGAGAAAGATTGGCCTGTATTGATTACCAATAGTCTGAAGGTACTGACTGCAAATGTAGGCAGTGAAAACTTTATTGATGGTACCATTAGCCCGGAATCACATGTGTACGCAAACAATCTGGTCGACTTTAACGAGAAAACACAAATTTAAAGTTATATGCAGAATGGTACTGTATATGTATTGTTTTGCATTACTTCATTTTATGATAAATGTATTGCCAACCAACAAAGCCTTTCTTGCTTTGATAATCAATCATCCGATCCACATTCATTCAGTGCCCTTTTTTTTCTTACTTGTTTATTTACGTTTAGTCACATTTGTTGCACGTTCACATGGAGTGGTCACAATAAGAGCCACTTCACTTTGCTGTTCTGCTGTTTGAAGTGTAACAGTCAAAAAGAAAGGAAGAACTGATTTGTTGATTTTCAGGAGTGGGTTTTAAACCCAGTGCTTTTGTCAAGAGAATAAATGCTGTGAAAAGGTTAAAAAAAAGAAAGATTTGCTTGTATTTATTTGGAAGCACAGAGTAAAACCCGTTTTGAGTTCACCTCTGTACTTTTTGTATTATTCGGGACACAATGACACAATCAGTTTTGTTGGTGTGCAACACAGAGTCCAACACAGTGACATTGAGAGGTAAACACTGTGTCACTCACCTGTAATTATGTTGTCAAGTAGTGTTGTAGGCATACAGAAAATCCCGACCAGGAGATCACTGACCGCAAGATTCAAAATGAACAAGTTGGTAACCGTCCGCATGTTTTTGCTCCTCAGCACGATGAAGCAAACCACTCCATTCCCCACCATGCACACGAGGAATATCAGCAGGTAGGAGACGATGAAGATGGCCACAGTGGACGGCTGGTGCAGGTAATATCCAACATAGGTTATGTTGTTCCTCGGTACGAAAGGCTCCAAGGTGTTATTGTAATATGTCCAGTTGTTGTAAAGTAGAGTCAGGTTTGAATCAAGTTCGTCATTCATTTTAAACCTGAAGAAGAAACAATGGGAAAAACACTACAATCAGTCATGTTTGCTTCTTCAAAATGTAGATTACAGTTCACCGTTGAAATATCTATTGTTTTGCAACAACCCGTGTCACATCTTATGTGGACTCTCTACTGTCATCCCAGTACTTGGGTATGTTCTCTGCCTATTGACAGTGTCTGTGCCATGAAGCACAACATCTTTCACTCTAGTTAATTGTGTTTCATTTGCTTTGCTCAGGAGGGGAACAAAAACCACTGGACCAGGAGGTCCACTTGTACATTGCATTAAACAACACATCCCTCCTGCACAAATACGCAACTGCTGTCAGGATATTTCCAATCCTTCCGGTCTACATGGGCCATACTTTGTCTAAAACATATGAACAAAACATATGAACAAAATTGATCAATTTAAATCAACAAATCAAAAGCAAACAGAAGAGTGTTGGCAGACTCAGCCAAGAGGATTAGAGTCAACTTTGTTTTTCACCTTAACCTTTGTTGTGCTTTGTTTTCAATTCTAATATACTTTTACACTCTAATACACTCTTTTACAGTTCTGCTGCCACCGGTGAACAGGAGGAGCACAGGACTACTGCCACTACCACTACTGCGACTTTTTTTTTACTTCATTGGTTTTTATGTATTTGTACAATGTATGTTCTGATAACATCTATTGCACGTCTGTCCGTCCAGGGAGTGGATCCGTCACCTGTGGTTCTCCCTAAGGTTTCTACCTTTCTCTTTTCTCCCTGTTGAAAGGGTTTCTCTTTCGGTAGTTTTTCCTTACCCTGGCTGACGGTCTAAGGACAGAGGATGTTACCAACCCTGTAAAGCCCCATGTGACAAACTGTATTTTGTAAATGTGGGCTATATAAATAAAATTTGATTTGATTTTTTGATTTGATTTATACTGAATAAATACTGCTTGACACAGTAAATTTCAATAAAGGACAAGCCATCGATGCTTAAGATGGAATGGGATTTTATCCGTGAGACAGAAAGAGATCGATGGACTTGTATGACGGAGACGGATAAAGAAACTTAATCCCTTAGTTTGTTGTCTTGGACACCAGAAATCCAAAAAGCATTCAAGTTGTAAAGACTTTGCTGAAATAATACTTCACGTCTGAAAGAGTTTCTACTCCATGCTGCAACCTTAACACTATACGAACACTTCAAAAGTTACAGTCACATTTTAAAGGATCCTGTCCCACAGCAGGATGACAAATGACCTGTCATTCTCTTTTTCTGCAGTAGAAACAAAATTGCTGCTACTGAACATAGAACCAAGACAGCAGAATAAGAAAGTATACTGTAATCTGCATAATGTCACGCTGAAGCTATGACCCTTAGACACTTATAGAAACATGAAATGGTTTTCAACATCTTTTCTCTAAGATGTATCATCAAAGAACCCTTTGATGTAGGAGATCAGCCTAAGCACATGAGAGATCATTTCAGGAATATCAGATTTGTTATGGGTTTTTATGTTGCATTTCTGGGTGTCTACCTTACCCGTTTAATTCATCTCAACTTAATCAAGCCTCAGATAATTAATCAACAGTCTAATGTCTTTGTCTTGTTTCCATGTCAGAGGGCTTTTTTGCTGCTGTTTTAATAAAAGAACACCACCTCTGATCAGACAGTCTTGACAGTAGGTAATGGCTGTACCTACAGTGGGTACGGAAAGTATTCAGACCCCTTTAAATTTGTCACTCTTTGTTTCACTGCAGCCATTTGCTAAAATAAAAAAAGTTCATTTTATTTCTCATTAATGTACACTCAGCACCCCATCTTGACAGAAAAAAAAAACAGAAATGTAGAAATTTTTGCAAATTTATTTAAAAAGAAAAACTGACATATCACATCATCATAAGTATTCAGACCCTTTGCTGTGACACTCTACTCCTTAATTGGAGTCCAGCTGTGTTTAATTAAACTGATTGGACTTATTAGGAAAGGCACACACCTGTCTATATAAGACCTTACAGCTCACTGTGCATGTCAGAGCAAATGAGAATCATGAGGTCGAAGGAACTGTCCAGGGAGCTCAGAGACAGAATTGTGACAAGGCACAGATCTGGCCATGGTTACAAAAGAATTTCTGCAGCACTCAAGGTTCCTAAGAGCACAGTGGCCTCCATAATCCTTAAATGGAAGACGTTTGGGACGTCCAGAACTCTTCCTAGAGCTGGCCGTCCAGCCAAACTGAGCAATCATGGGAGAAGAGCCTTGGTGAGAGAGGTAAAGAAGAACCCAAAGATCACTGTGGCTGAGCTCCAGAGATGCAGTGGGGAGATGGGAGAAAGTTCCACAAAGTCAACTATCCCTGCAGCCCTCCACCAGTTGGCGCTTTATGGTCCGACGGAAGCCTCTCCTCAGTGCAAGACATATGAAAGCCCGCATAGAGTTTGCCAAAAAACACATGAAGGACTCCCAGACTATGAGAAATAGGATTCTCTGGTCTGATGAGACGAAGATTGAACCTTTTGGCATTAATTCTAAGCGGTATGTGTGGAGAAAACCAGGCACTGCTCATCACCTGCCCAATACAATCTCAACAGTGAAACATGGTGGTGGCAGCATCATGCTATGGGGGTGTTTTTCAGCTGCAGGGACAGGACGACTGGTTGCAATTGAAGGAAAGATGAATGCGGCCAAGTACAGAGATATCCTGGAAGAAAACTTCTACCAGAGTGCTCAGGACCTCAGAGTGGGCCGAAGGTTCACCTTCCAACAAGACAATGACCCTAAGCACACAGCTAAAATAACCAAGGAGTGGCTTTGGAACAACTCTGTGACCATTCTTGACTGGCCCAGCCAGAGACCTGACCTAAACCCAATTGAGCATCTCTGGAGAGACCTGAAAATGGCTGTCCATTTGTGCTCCACACCTTCCACTTTCGAGGGGAAGTAAACAGGATCTGTCATATCCTTGGCTGACCAATGGGTCTGTGGTGTTTATACCTTTTCAACATAGCCTGAGCAGCTCACTTTTTAAATCCTTGAATTAGAAGAAACCATTTTTGTGGCTGTTCTCAGTCTTGCCCTGGTGCAGTATATGACCTTTGATAAAAAGCTTCTAGGTCAAAAGTGCATTTTGTTCTCATCTCTGTGTCGCAGATTATTCCAGGCGGCTTCGTTATACGCAGTGATGCAAAAGTTTGGTTTTAGGGTGAAATCTGCACCTTACTTTGGGTTCTGATGGTGTGCTTCCTAAATGGTGCATAATTACATAGAGATTGTGTGTTATCGCACAAGTCCGAGTTATAAGTCTTATAAGTCTGTTTTTAATGAGTTAGAACAAGTGTATTGTTTTTCTGTCACTAAAAAAAGTAATAAGAAAATTAAACCACATACTGACTGCATTTGATCTTAAAAACTGTCAAGATTGTTAATCCACTTAAGAGACAGAGAAGCCGGGAGACAGAGACATATCTGCTCTCAATCATTCCAAATTCCAATAGATTAGTCATACTCAGTAATTATTACATTGGGAGACTTATGTACTGTACTGCTTGGGCATTGCACAGTCTATTTGAACCTGCTCTGTAATGGTTGCTTGGTCACCTGGGGATTATAATATGCTGACATTCAGTGTTGAGTATAGATTCTCCAACACAGTAGGATCAGTGATGGCCATCTACACTACTGCACGGTTGTAAGATGACATTATATCAAATATTATGTTGTATTTCCTGTTTTTGGTTGGACTGGAGTATGCAGTAAGCATCAATGAGCAGTAAACGTTGTAAAGGGCAAGTTTTAAAATGAGTTTTTATTGTTTACTTTTAAATCTAATGTTGCTATAACGGTATGTACTAGAATGGCTATAAACAGAAATTACTCACACATGCTCTTTCTATCTCTGTCTTATTAGCAATGTGAGTCAGATGCGCACTCTCTCAGCCTGAAAAACTGGGTCATCCATACTACATCTAGATGCCCTGGATATTTTATTCCATTTGTGGATATAAAAGTGAGATAAAAGCTAACAACTAAAAGGTTCTTTTTGCTGTCACGTTCCATTAGTTGTATCGCACAATTACACTATCATTTTTCTAAAATAAAAGATATTTTCATCTCTATACATACAGTGAAATCACTGAAGCGTGTAAGAACTAATTAATAACAAATAACATTGTTAAGATAAGTTTTGATTGTCTTTGGTTTATGTTCAAAATTTCACTTCATGATAAAATGGAAACTATTGAAAATTTTTATTATGTAAACAGTACCAGGAAGGTCTAAAACCACTTAGTTACTATATTCTAGTAAATCCTCCATTTTTTCTAATCCTTTTCTTTTGCACCTGCATTAATTAAGTCAAGAAAAATAGGATCAGGCTCATGCAGCAAATGAAAGAACAACCATAGATGTTAGTGTTGCATTCTGGAATCATTTAGATTTCATTTATGATAACATGAAGGCGAACCCATTACTGTGGGGGCATGTGCTCCAAGTTTGTGTTTCTCTGACCAAAAATCATTAGAAACCCTTTCACTGATAGGTTTACAGCTAAGGATAAACTTCCAATTAAGAGGTCATAGGTTATAGTGGCATTTAATTTGGGAGTAAAACACACATTTTACAAGTTTGGGACCAAACAAGTTATCAGATTTTACATAGGATAGGATAGGATATAGTAGGAGGGACAGTGGATACATTGGTAGAAGAATGTTAGAGATGGAGCTACCAGGTTGGAGACAAGGAGGAAGACCAAAGAGGAGATATATGGATGCAGTGAGGGAGGACATGCAGATAGTTGGAGTCAGAGGAGAAGATGCAGAGAACAGGGAGAGATGGAAATCAATGATTCACTGTGGCAACCCCTGAAAAAGGCGAAAGAAAAAGAAGAAGAAGAATTGTTGAACTGTCAGCATATACAGCACCATAAACAGCACTGGTGCTCTGTTTCTACATTGTTGGAACAATTCACTAATATTGTATTTCCCTTTATCCATACATAAGGAATATAAGAATATTGAATATTATTACTAATCATTCTAGAGTTTTTGTACTGTTGCTTAATCCAGTTTTATAATCTGTGTGAAATCTGACACAACTGATGTCGGGGATTTGATGTTAATGGTGCTTTATTCCAGGTGTGATTTACATCTGAATTTTAGGGATTTTAATTATTTTGACTACTATTCATGCTTTGATTGATGAGGTGGAATGGTGGATTGAGGTACAGAGCTCATTATTGATGTGAACCACGTAAAACTGCCGTGATAATCCAGTGAAATACGTCATGTAGAGTAATTACTGCCTGGAATGGTCCAGATATAGTCTGGATTAACATGTGTATCAGGATTGAGAGGAAATGTTTCATTAATGACGTGGAGTTAGTCATGAAACACTATGATATAATAAATACTGCATCTTTGTGGTTGGTTCTTTGATTTCAAGGTTGTTTTGTTTTGTTTTTTATCTTCGATCCATAGGGATGTGTATTTACTATATATATATAATAATTGATGTCATAATTTTGTCACTGCTACTTCATTAACCCACCGTGTACCACTTTTACTGTGGACTACTGTTCATCATTTCACCCGCCACACCTCACCCCACTGAGCAAAACCATTACAACTGATTAAGAATGAAAACAGCAAAAAAATATTTCCACATGAAGATGTTCGCCTCAGTTATAACAAGGCACCACATTTTACCACCAATAATGACAAAACAGCAATCCTATAGCGCTGCTTCTGACCACACTGGTACAGCACAGAATCCTGTTAATAATTATCTATTTAAACTAAGTGTCAGTCAAAAAGTTTTCCTAAAAATGTACAAATTAACAACACAACACATAGATGAGATGGGAGTTAAATGTGGTTGTGATTCTTCTTCCCTCTATTTCATAAAATAATCCAAATGTTGTTCTGCTTAGTTGAAATGATCCACCGTGTTGCATTTTCCTCCAGTGGATGCTCATGGATCATTCTCATTTCGTGCCACACTTAAGGTTTTTTCATTTATAAATGAACCATAAATCTTTTAGTAATGTGGACCACATGCAATATGTTTCATGATCCACGGCTCCTGTAGCCTGAGCCTATGTCATGGTAATGCGAACCGTAATTACTGGCACGAATCTCATGCAGTGGTGGCTCGGGTAAATTCGTTCGACTCCAGTGCCAGCAGCCGCCCCCAGGGATTGGGGGGAGCGGAGGTTGCGCGCATAACCGCGTTCTTCTGGGGAAAAAAAAAGGTCCGGTGGACCCAGGCTTTATGTGACTTAGAGAGGGCAAAGTTGACCGAACCAGAGCCAGGAATGGATGTCAGCGTACCGCGATGTGCGCGAGTCTCTCGACCGCGTCTTCTCCAACTTTACGCACAACACAAAATCAAATCTTAATGTTAAATGTCAACGATTTTTTTTTTACCCACGCGTGCAGCTTGTGGTAAATGTGATTCTTAAACTCACTCACCTTTATTAATTTCAAATAAAGCTGGTGATGACTGTGCTGGAAAAGATTTTTTTTTTTTTTTAAAGTCACAAAAGTCCACTTTTCCTTCAAATAAAAAGAGTTGGCGTAGATCACAGAGAAAATTCTCAGTCGAAAGTCTGGGAAAAATGTGGAGTCAAACGTCAGCGGCAGCGGCAGCAGCGGTCAGTCTGTCCTCTGTTATCGTGCAGCTGTAGTTGGTGTGGAACTGGGCGCGCGTGGAGCCGCTCAGTGCGCAAGTGGGGGATTTAAAGCCGGATCCATCGTATATGCTGCGTGACGTCAAAAGTGAGAGGGTTGGGTTTACAGCTATACGAACAGACTAATGGATGTGTGACACACACACACTCTCTTTCTCTGTCTCTCTCTCTCTCTCTCTCTTTCTCTCACACACACACAAAAACACACTCATCCTGCTCTGATCTCTTATAGCTGTCGATCCTCTCAAATGTCAAGAGCTGGCGATTAAAGAGAGTCTATAATGGGATGATGAGAACGCAGATCAGTGATGCACATGTTGAACTGGTACATTTAGACCCAAGAGTCATAGAAGCCCGCCATCTGACCCTCTATATCCCTCTACTATCGACGCAATTTTATGAAGAAATAATTAAGAAATAAATGTCAACTAAGGCAAATTAATCAATTCAATTAACCAAATGGTGACTACAGACGGTGTTTATTAGTCTGTTGCCTTAAGCAGCAGCAGCTGGAAGATATCAGTTTAAATCTGAAACCAGTGGCAGGCCTATCATATCAGAAAGAAAAACTGTTTGGTTCATAGAGGATTCTTCATCAAACGGGATAGATGGCGCCAATCCCCCTTTGTGCAGAGGATAACGAAACAATTATACTTTGTACAAGGTTGTATTTTGCTTAATTATTTTGTTGTTGTTTGTCGATGCCCTCCTGAGCACCTGCTCGTTTGCCATTCCAGCAGCCTCTTCTGTTCAAGGCGGATATCTCATCTTCAATGTACTCATTAAACACTTCTTAATGATGTATTGGCTGGCACCTTACGAATGTGACAGCAGTGGAAGACCAGAGGATCCTTGCCAAAGTCCGCACAGACCAGACCCCCGCTCCGTCACTGACATGCTTGTTCGACACTGAGGCAGGTTTAGCCACACCACAGAGCAGCTCAAGAATAATTGGCTGTCGAGCTGCCTCCCTCACAGTGTTAATCCGGTGCCAGCCGACTCATTTACATGAGCCAGCTGACTTTGCCCATTACTGCACAAGTGAAATGATTTTATAGCTAGTAATTGATGTTCATTTAGATAAATGAATTCTCTAATTAGGCCGTTAAAAGCCATCGTTTTGTTCACTTTTATATTTATAACTGTTCAATTTGACATGCAAACCAGGATCTGTGCTTTTACATATTATAAGAACCTCAGTCATGACACGCAGAATATTTCATTTTGTTTTGCAATCAAGAATGCTCAACTGTCGGAAAAAACAAAACAAAAACAAAAAACAAAACTAAATGTGTCGTTGTAATTCAACGCAGAGTTTGCGGAACTGCTGTTAAAAGAAAGAAGCGAAGTGTCGTTGGAAGAAATCCGATCAGTTGGCCGATGGAGACGCTTTGCTATGTCAGTCTGTGCTGTCCTTCAGCACGTCAATCAGAGTCAATGTTAACAAATACAACTTTGATGAAAGTCTTTCAGGCTAAGTTGGGAAGTGATGTTTTGTAGGAGGAATTTTTCACATAAGTAGCTTTTTGTTTTTAAATTTTTTCATTGTTGAGAAAATGTCCCAGTTTGAAAAGAACAGCTTTGTTTGAAAGTAAAGTTTTTCTAACCAAACTGCCTGCTCATTCTTAACAGATAGGACTCAAATAATGAACATGAAGGATGAACAATTCTTGTTGGAGCTAAATTGTTAAAATACTTTGGGTTGGGCTTTTTGTATTGGCACTGCTGAAATCGAACAAAACTAACCCTCCAAAAAGATGTTGAAAATTAATAAAAACACTTTGTTTGTTTATGTTCGCCAGTTGGAGCTTAATGTTTAGTGACAGTTTACTGTGTACTGTGTTCAATTTACACTGTCTGAACTACTTGTGATCTGATAAAGTCTGAACCAGCAGCTTTTAAGCCTCAGTGTATTCCACCAGGTCATAGTTCTTGTTGTTGTTTCACTGGTAGAAATTGGATTTGTAGTTTTGCCAAAAACAGAGTCTTATCTTGTTCATTGTTTTCCCCGCAAATGTTTTTGTACTGCTAGTACTCCTAGGCCCAAGCGTTTAGTGGCTTTTAGTACTGTGGAATAGTATTCTGTATATAACTGAGAGTCGGTGTAATCGCTGTATCCCTGCGTGATGTTTTATTAGTATTCTCGCAGCATCGACATGATTGAGTGGGTAATTGTCTAAGGATCCCATTTAGGAGGACACTGAAATGTCCACTGAAACCTTACCTCTTATCCTTTGATTAATAAAAAACACTGAAGACAAAAATGTCTCTTCAGGTTCTCTTTAGTGAATTGTTAATGAAACTTGAACAGAACATCTCAGATGAAATATAATGTTTGAGAAAGTCGGTGTTAAACCTGCGACATGGTCAAACCTGCTCAAACAGGTGATCTTCTTATAAAAGCATAAACACTACTCCAGGGGTGTCAAACTAATTTTCACCGGGGGCCCACATCAGCAATACAGTTCCCCTAGAAGGGCCGGTTGTAAATGAAAGAGAAACCCCGGTCCATGGACCAATGCCAGTCCATAGGTCATTTAGTATCGGGCCGCAGGGGGACACAGTGAAAAAATGTACTTAATTTTTACTAATTTACTTCATTCAAAGACAATCCAGTCATAATTATTTACTTACTTTTGATATGGTCTGTCAGCATTTTAAAATAATATGTCAGGTTCTGATACAAACAAAATAGAGTCTTAACCAGGGGTGTCCACATTTTTTCTGCTTGGGAGCTACTTTTCAAATGACCGGGGTAAAGTGATCTACCTACATTGAAAACTATAAATATATATTTACTACTTTGAGTAAATGGCTGTAGTTCTATGGCACAATACTGTCTGACTCAATACTTCTATGATCCTTACTTTAGCCCTAGTGATTAGCATCTTAAAATAGAATTAAATTTTTTTTTTAAATCATTTTTAATGTTTATTTTAAATGTAATTTCTCAGGATCTACCAGCACTCCACTTGAGATCTACTGGTAGCTCCTGATCTTATTGGGCAGCCCTGGTCTAAAAGATGATTTTGAAAATGTAATGATACTTCAATGCTCAGTACCTTGGTACTGGTCTGTAGTAACAGGTGGTACTGCCTAACAAGTCCATTGAACGAAAAAGGTCGGTTTGATTCGATTGATTACAAAAACTTTTAATTTCTCAGGTTAAGAAACTCTGATGCATGGACTTAAATGTTTTTTAAGCACCTGTGGGCCACACAAAACGGCTTGGCGGGCTGCATTTGACCCCCAAGCCTTGAGTTTGACACGTGTACATTTCATTTCAGCCTTTTGTTGTGTTTTTCATTTACCTTTGTCTTCTAATTTTAATTTAAAAAAACATAATATGTGCCTGTGACTAGACGCCAATGTTTCTTAAAAGGTAAATGTTTTGTCTGAGACCCAAAGAAATATTGCTTGTTTGGTGTGAGTGTGGAAGTTAATGGCAATGGGAAAAAAAAAGACGCTGCTCTGACCGACAAACAAAATGAACCCAAAACCTTTTCATCATATTGAGGTCATTCAAGACCAAGACAGTCAAAATGATGGACATGTAATAGAGTTAATAAAAGGAAAAGTACGGCACCTTGATGACCAACTGTCAGCATCACAGTCACTAATCAACTTGCCCATTGGAAAGCTTTCGCTCAAAGTGTTTTACGATATTAGTATGAGAATGACCGAGCATTCTCCCAGGGTGAGTGAAGCCAGGGCTGTGGGCGAAGACTGACCATCAACATGCAGTGACAGTAAAACACTGTCACAGCAACACTGCACTTCATTTATATCCATAGCAGTGGCCTCTACTGAGCAGAGAAGATGACGTACCCTTACTATGTGTCCCTGCCAAGTAGTTGGTGCTGTTTAAGACTCCATACCTTTAGAGCATATAGAGCAAAGATTCGTCTTTTAAAGGCCATTCCCAAGAGCACACGGCACAAACGACTATTACTCATGCTTGGCTAGGACTGTGAAAGGTATTGTTTTTTTTTTCTCGTTGTGAGACTGACGGCACTGCACTTGTTCAGCTGCAGCTGTGTGCTTTGCCTGACAGCAACTGATCTGAGAACACACTGGGGAAATATTGATGCATGAATTAGAGCTGTTCAGTTAAATTATTCATACCATTGAACTTATAAGTGAGTGAGAGAGTGAATGGAACCACCGAACCACATTAACAGGTGTCCGTCTACACTGCCACTCACAAACAACAGCAAGACTCTAAAAAGAGTGAAGGCATGAACAGATTTACCCTCCCTCCCCGGCCCCTGACTACCCCTCACCTACCCGCCCACAGATACCTCTGTGACATGCTTAACCTGAATCTTTTGTGCCTGTCTTTCACGAATAGACCACAGCTTTAAAAATTAATGGTTAACCTTTCCGAATCCTACAAGATTGTGTGCCTTTGAGGTACTCTGAATTCACTGCACACCGTTAGATCATTAAACTGCAGGGACCCTAACAGGTTTGGACGGCAACAGTGTGGCTGTCTGTGTTTGGGTTTTTTTTTATCAAGGTTTTTATTTACTTTAAAAGAAAAATAAAAAAACAAGTGAAAAGTAATGGTACTGTCCAATGACACATCTGTCCGATTGTTCTGTCCAATGACACGTCATCCCTTTGTCAGAGCATTACGTAAAGCTGTTGTTTGTTCCTGTTAGTTCAGTACTTTTGATGGTGAAATTGTGGGCAGCTTTTAGTCTCTGATTGTTTTTTTTAAAATCTGGGACAGCTCTTGCTGTAGGGAGAGCATAGTCTTTGGAAAGACTCTAGTAAATCCAAAATGATAGACACACACACTTTGACAAGACTGGTGTCAATATTTAATTTTGTAAACACAGCATGCAGCACGTGTCTACATCACTTTACCTAATTAACACTGGATGGAGAAAAACTAGATACAAAGAAGTCAAAACAAATTCAGAGAAAAACCATTAACAACAACTATTAACAGCTAGTGTCCAATCATTTTGTCCAAATTATAGACCTTTTAAAATGTCTAATGCTTTGCATCACTGTTCAGACTGTGAAGCAGAGAATGTTTCCTTATCTTTATTTCTCCGAGACTTCTCTTTAAATCATATACTGTAACCAGATACCACACAGCCCTGTACTCCCTGTATACATATGGTCTTAGGTAATAACAC